TCTTCCGAGGCAAACTTGGCCTTGAGAAACGCGTTGTACTCGTCTTCCTTGGCTTTTGCTCTTGGAGCACTTGCGCTTTGAGCCGCTGCTGCTCTTGGTTGCATCGAATCATGTCGTCGCGGTCCTTTTGCTTTTGCAGCATCTTGGCCCGCGCCTTCTCGCGGTGCGCCTCGAGCATCTCTTCTTCCCAGAGCTCGTCGCGGAGCCGCACAAACTCCTCCTCTTCCTTGCGCGTGCGCTGGATCTCGGCTTCGACCGCGAGAAACATCTCTTCTTCGCGCTTCTTCTTCTCCGCGAGCTTTTCCTTGATGCCGGCTTCCCGCTGCTCGACGCGCTTGCCGTACTGCGCGATCCGCGCATCTTCCTCGCGCTCGCGCCGCGCCGCTTCTTCGCGTTCGTTGGCGCGCTGAAGCTTGCAATCTTCAATCATCACACGCGCTTGGGCGACATAGCGCTCGCGCTTCTCTTGCTCGTGGCGGTCTTCGGCCTGGATCTGCTGCATGATCGCGTCGACCTTGGCTTTGTCGACTTCGGCCTCCTTGGCGGCTTCTTCGTAGAGCTTGAGGCGGTCGAGCATCTGTTCTTGGATCGATTGCTTGCTCGCAACAGCCTCGGCGCGCCGCGCGATCTCCTTGGTGGCCATGTCGACCTCGGCGCGCTGCCGGTCGTACTCCATTTGCGTCTCGATGGCCTTCTCGCGCGACTTTTCGATTTGGCTCAAGGTCTCACGCTCGGCCTGCTGCACGGATCGCTCCTTATTGACGTATGCGACCTTGAGCATGCTCTCCAGCTCGCGGAGCTCTTCGCTCGACTCGCAAATGCGCTGGATCTCGCGCTCGCGGCGCTCGCTCATCCGGCGCTCTTCTTCGAGGGCTCGCGCGAGGCTGTCGTTCTGCTCTTTTGTGCGGAGGTTGCGCTTAAGGTCGCGCTCTGCGACAAAGCTGCGCTCTTCAAGCATCGCTTCGGCATTGCGCTGGAAGGCCGCGTTCCCGCGCCGCTTGGCGAGCACGGCCATGTCGCCCTTGTTGGCCATCGCCTGCACCTGGTTGCTCGACGCATACCGGAGAAGCTCGGTGTTCTGCGTCTCGATCCGGCGCCGGTCCGCCATCGTGCGCTCGACCTGCCGCGTCGTCACGCGGTGCTGCATCGTCGCTCTGGGGTCGTATTTATAGGCCTGCCCGAGATCTTTGCACCGAATTAGCCGCCGGCGTGGCTTAACTAATGCTCGAAACACACTGGCATTTATTTAAGATGCTCGAAACCGTTGCTGACATTTTGAACACGGACCACGGGGATGATCCGCGGAACTTGGTTGAGAGCCCTGGATAACCTCCGCGATCTCTTGCTGCCGACCTCGCTGGCACGACCCATGTTGCATCCCCCTCTATTGCCAACAGGATCTGCAAGCAACACAAGTACTACCTACACAGTCGTCGCAATGCGCTACTTGTGGCATTGCACCACCACCCGTCAAGCTCCGTCTTGGCGCCAACTGCGACTTCAACAACCCAGCAACACCCGCGACGGGAACCACCGAGAGTCCTTCGCTAACTATTGCCACAGCGTTGTCGCCCTCCGATATAGAGCTATCCAATTCTCTAGGTCGCATCATGTTTCTACACGTAGTCAGTCGGTTGGCCCAAGTGGACGAAATCGTGTGGCGGCGTCAGGATGGCTCGACTTTGAATGGTCCGGATACGCCGCCGTTGGTAATTCTAGATTTGTGGGGACGGTTTGGCGCGCATCCGGATACGTGGCTTCAAAAAGGGAGGGCTTGAAGATCGCCCCCATACATTCTTCCATACAACGAGCGGACGGGCCCCGCGAGCGTTGGCGTATTTTCGATTCCGCGGCCCGCGACCGACCGACGACCGACGCGCCCCGCGCCTCCGACGTGTCGGCCCCTTCGCACTCG